GGAATCATGCGCTTTATGCTGAATGGGCAATCGTCTCAGCGTGTGTGTATTATCATCAGTAAAAAAGCCGTATTAGATTAGTTTGGGCGAAAAATCACAACAAATCGAGTCCAATTTGGGCAGTTGTACAAGTAAAGGCACCAAGTTGCGCGCGTCATAAGGACTTCTGCTATTTTCCCTCCTGTACTTTAGTGCTGGAAGCCAAAATGTGGACATTTGGGGGATGCAGCACTCAAATGCCTCATACTGCACCGTAGTCACCATAGGCTCTGCGGTGTGAAGCCCTAAGCAGCGTGAAACACACGTGAGAACCCTTGGACTATCTTACGCTTGGCTGAGGAGGTACGTTGTGTGAAGTTATGCTGCTGTGTGATGCCTATCCTTGGGCCTCTGACTTGCTGTACACATCGCCCAACTGGCGTGTCCCCTAGTGTCCCCTAGGTCGTAAAAAAACTGCACATCGCCTAGTATTGGAAAAATTTGCTGACTTGGCTTCAGCATAAAAAGTGTCCCCACATGGGTTGAGGACACTTTTCGTGCTGAAGCCAAATCACCCTTTCTTTGTCTGGCAGCTCAATTCCTTTTGGGACTGTACTGTACACCCTCGACCTATGGGTGACAAACATTTTAGCCACTTTATGTTTTTGTGGAGGGATTGGGTACTACTGTACATGTAGGAGAGTTATTAAAGAGGCAAACCGTAGTAGAATATTTTCCCGACCTTGGATTGTCCAAATACACTAGCCTATAATGTACTACCATTTCTGTGGTTGGTTTCATGAAATGATTACAGGGATGGATGTCTTCGTTCACCTGCAGATAAACCACAAGGAGTTGTGTCCCTCACGGTGCGGTCGAAGGGTTTAACATGCCAACATGTTCAGTCGTACCCCGCCTCTGTACATTACTTTACCACCCATTTTCTGCCCGCCGTCTTGCGGCAGGGAGTGGGTTTATGGCTTCCTGAGCGACCCCGAAGACCCCTCGGCGATTTCAACAGGATTTCCGTTGTCCTACAGCTGCATCACGAATACCTCCAACACCCACATCTTCAACACGCTTGTGAGCAAGAATTCCTCAGACCGGTGTCCGGAGAGGAGTAGATGTTGATGTTTGGCGATGTTGGGGGGGATTTTCAGCTTGGACGTGGGCAGCCGCGACTAACGTCGCCACATTACCTTCACCCTACGTAGGGGACAATCGCAGCGAACCTATAATAACAAAGAACACATGTTGAGGTGGTCGCGTTAGTTAGTGTTGTCCTTCTGACGAGCCGGCAATGGTCAGGTGTGCGCAAGAGAAGTCGTTTTCCCATCCTGTCGGCATTATAATTCGTCTCACCATGCTCTGTTTGTGTACGTCCTTCGCGCCCTTGTGTTGCCGGTGTGTCAGGGCATTGGGCTTACCAACCAGAACAAGTTTATGAAGGATGACAAATCGTCATATAAGGCGCTATTCACGAATTTTGGGCTTCACAAGAATACGGTGCGTCTGACCTGCAGCTGCAAGAGATTCGTAAGTCTCCGTCGCTGCGGTTTGTAGTTGTTGTTGTTGCTGTCAAGTTGCCCTGCAAAACGTCCGGCACTTCTCATTCGCCCGAAATCGTGTTTCCAAAAATGCAGGTGAACCCAAACATCACAATGCCATACGCACATCTGTCCCTGGAGATGAAGCAACAGGCTGACTCTTGGGAGATCATCACAGAGTCCAACCCGTACGAGTTCGCCGAAATGTTTGGCAATATTGGCGGGTTTTGGGGTGAGTGATACCAAACGAACCGGTGTTCATTGTTTTTCTTTCGAATTGCCTTGATTAATATTTTCTGTGGTCTACGGAGGGAGACTTTCCCCGTACCACACGTCCCCCACGGCACAAAGCCTCCGCGGTATCCTAAAGTGTCTCTGCTACTAAACACAAATATCCCTCCGAATACCACCAGGCGGGACAAAACTGTTGTGCAGTAGCAGTCTCGGACAATTGAGCCTCCCAATGGTACGCTACCATTCAGAAAACACTCCATGCTACGCTGACTTGCTTCTACATAGCAAAGGTGGTTCCTCCGAGTCACTGACAACATTAAGAGGCCTCTTCAAAGTGAGCCCTCACTCGTAACATCTCTCCTATCCCCCACCTTCGAAAGAAAAGGGGTGCGGGCGGGAGAAAAGCCACGACATAATAGCTAGCTATCGTCCAAATTTCGATGTAGCTAGCTGCTGAGAATTTTGCCGCGTGGCCTTCCAAAGTGGGCTGCATGTTACACATTGTGCCTTTCTCACAACGTGGCCCTTGGGTCCAGTGGACAAGCGTCTATCGAACGCTTGCCGCAGGAGCAGCGAGGCAGCAGAATGATAACTCCGTGAGATCTTTCTCTTTTGGGACCCCAGAAAACCGAACGAAGACATCCGAACCAATGCGCCTCCAGGCGGCACAACAAGAACCCGAATACACACGTAGACACGTAGATCTGGGAGATGTTCCGAATTCTTCCGTGCACAATAAACTACTATTCGTTCGGTCTTCGACAACAAACTTTCATTATATTGTTTTTCTTTCAAATTGCCTTGATGAATATTTTTCTATGCCACCAGACGGGACAAAACTGTTGTACAGTAGCAGTCTCGGACGATTGAGCCTCCCAATGGTACGCTCCCATTCAGAAATCACCCAATTCGAAGTCGTGCAATAACTGCGTCGGGAGGCAACAGTATATCCCGTCGGGTGGTCCGATGTGGTACAATATGCTTATATTTTCAGTACAGAACTGGTACGATACACACCCTGTGTGATATTTGACCGCGAAAAGGAATGTCACAGCTTAGCCGTTGGGCTTCGCGCCGCCCCGCCCGCCTAAAAGACCCAAAACCGGAGGACTCAGGGAGGTCCTCCACCAAGAAGCACCGGCGAGCGCTACCTCGGAGAGACCCCAGTCTGTCTCTCGGCGGTGGCGTGCAGTGCCGGTTGGCGATGACCAGCTGCGGGGTACTTCTGTAGGAAGCACTTAGTGTCGTTGGTCTTGCTCTTCTTGATCGCCATGGGCCGGCGCAGTATGCTGGTTTTCATGGACTTGATTGATTCTATCTTGTTTCTTTGAGGTCTTTGCGAAATGATCCGCCTGGTGCCTGGCATTTTTCGCTACACGGAGAAACATGACGAAAAACACGAGAAAGAAAGAAAAAGTAAGAAGAAAAACGACAGGGATTCGATATCGTGCATCCGGGCCACCAAATCTCGTGGGCATTCGGACATAGGCTGGACGGGTCGCCATGGGGTCAGGCGACGTGTGCGAGACATGGTATTGTTTTTTATTTTTTCTAGGGGTGGGAGTTCGTGGTGCCGCATCGAATTCCTTGTGGCGGTTCATCTTACGGCGCGGCCCATGAAAAACAAACAATGGGACTGTACAGCACATGGCTTCATCACGAGAAGGAGTACGATGGCTTGACCGCGGTCGTCTGTGTTGGTATTAGTGAGCGCTCACTTGATTAGCGCACATGTAGTTCGAACTCGACGCGACACTTTCACAGCTATGCATCGCTGGAGACATGACCAAGTTCCGTGAGGACATTCCCGGGTATCATGCACCTACAGTAGATCGATTCCAAACATGCGACCGCAACGATGATAGGTGGCGAATACCGCTACACCAGTAAAATCATCTTCATGATCATCAATACTTGCCCACGAACAATAAACATGCGTGGCGGAAAATGTTGCGTCGTAGAATGTAGCCGTTCTGAGACAGATCATACCGGGTGACAATGCTGTACCAGTGGAGGCGTTGGTTCCCCCAAACCTAGGCCCTGATAACGTGGTGTTCGACAACCGAGACACAAAAAGCGGAGTTCGGCGCCAAGTTAGACTGGTGTGGCGGGGAACGGTCTTGGAACCTGTGTGCGGA